TGCCACTCATTGAGAAACGCATTTCTGCAAGGCTGCCTCCCCTTTGAGTCTGCATGGCTGCCCAGCCTTGCAGTGAAATATTATTAAATCTAGAGGAGTAATCCTATGATGTCAGAATTAGTCATGTGCAGCTGTTTTTATCTCATAACTAATCACAACCGCTGTTTAATTTGTTTAATTGATGCACATAGCCATCCATCTCATCAGGGTTGAGCCTATGAGCCTTTCTTGAATGTGTCATTGATGTCTTCAACCTGGTCCATCAATTTAGCAGTGATTAAGATGCAAAAATTAGTTCTAAGACAGGGGTCTCCAACCTTGGCAACTTTAAGCCTGGAGGACTTCAACTCCCAGATTTCCCCAGCCAGCAAAGCTATGCTAAGTTGCCACGTTTGGAGACCCCTGATCTAAGATGAAGCAACAGTTAAAAACAGTAAATATAGTAGTGGCCAAAATTGTGGAAACCTTTTGGGGGGAGGAAGTGTATTTTTGAGGTTTGATGGCTAATAACACCACTTTTTTGTAGTAGTACCATAAAATTATATATCAGTGGAAAGATAATTCAATCAAGAATGTAATGCAACAAAGTTTGTTGAATTATCTGTATTCTATGAAAAGTTATAGGTCAGAAGCGACCCAGCAATAAAACCCAGTTAATAGAAGCAATCATTCAATCTTGGTTTCACGTGATAACAGCTGTAGAATTAAAAGAGTTGGTCCACCCCATGGGGAGACATTGTAAGGCCATAATCCATTCTAAAAGTTACCCAACCAAGTATTAACTGACGTGATAATTTTGGTATATCTCTTTTTTTTCTATGGTGATCATTTTTTCTAGGCGTTTCACTTTTCTTCTTTATAACTGCTATTCTAAGAGCAAATCCTTCATAAAAGTTATTGCATTACATTCTTGCTTAAATTATCTTTCCGTTGATATATAATTTTATAGTACTGCTAAAAATAAAATGCTATTAGCCATCAAATCTTAAAAATACACCCCCCCCTAAAATTTCCACAATTTTAGCCACTACTGTGAATGCCATGTCATTTTTGTCACCTAACGGAGTACGTAGGCAGTAATCAAAGGGGAAGGGATAATTCTACTGCAGGGGGAGGGCAGTTCATCATCTTGGGAAGAAGGCCCTCTCCTCTGGGCCCCTTGGGAGTCCTCCTGGACCCACAGCTGACTTTTGAACACCATTTGTCAGCTGTGACCAGGGGGGGATTTACCCAGGTTCGCCTGGTA